AGCACCTGCCCGTGGCCTCCGTGTGCCGCGGCTCCCCGTGCGGCTGGAGGGAGCAGAGGGGGCGAGCCCGCGTTCCGACGGAGCTTGCGGCCGGGTGGGGGATGGCGTGGAAAGTCCCCAGGATCAAGCGACCTTCGTAACCGCACGGAGGGAGATCTCCCCGCAGCACCGCCCTGGGAAGAGTCCTTTTTCGGGTCTTCAGTCTGTACTTGCGTAAGTGTCAGGGACGAGGATCCGGCGCTTTCCAGGCATCTCCTTCTTTTGGAGACCACAATCAAATTTCAGGTCTCTTAAAGGGCAGGAGAGCACTTCGCGTCTGTTTGCGTTGAGAACGCTATCAAATCTGGGTATTGGAAGCTGTGTTTTCACCAAAACAGTATTTTGCTATTTATTTTTTGTTTTGAATGGAAATCTTGTGTGAAGAAACCAAAAGCATAGAAACCTGAGACATCTCTAGTTTGGGTTTGTTGCATTGTGGCAGAAGGTTGTTCAGGCATTTCCTCAGAGACGAGCACCCAAAACCTGCCTCTTTGTTTTTCAGCCAAAGGTGTTATCTGATGTATTTCAACAGTCTTCCATTTGCTGTTATAATAATACACATGTTGTCGTAGAAATGTCTTGCATATATTTACAGTCTACTTTCAATAAAGTATCCTAATGCAAATAGGGTATAATCCTTTATTTTGGAAGAATTTATATGGTAATCCTGTCATGAGAAAAAAGATTGGGATGTGAATAGAAAATATCAACTCGTGTAATTAATTAACATGGCAAACAGGTATTTATTTTTAGATGAGGTATTTTATATTTTCTTTTTGCCCCTTAATTAAAACTACTTCATCCACTAATGCAATACAAATAATTTTCAAGCCAGTAAGTCTCTGATTTCCATTGTACTGTTATGATATTCTTGGTAATTAGAACGGAGACTGGAAATTTTTTAAACAAATTTTGAACAGCAAAGCTGGCAGCTTAGCCTGTAAAAATCAGCATATTTAAGATAAACTGGCTGGCTTGTACCAGTTCATAACAGATTGTCATGAACATTGGTCATGTTTTTTAAGATCCTAGTTGCTTTCTGCCTTGGAGACCAGAGTCTTCATAATGT